AACTATTGTGGCAGACTAGTTTCTGGGTAATAGTAGAATGTGTACTAACTATTGTGTATTTTCTTAGCCTTTTCTCTCTTGTAGCAGCTCATGTGCTGCTTTATGTTGTAAGTATTTTTGGATAAATAAATTCACCTTTTATCCAAAAAAAAAATAAAAAAAAGATCTTAAGTTTGAATTACATGATATGTTGGTAAGATGAGATAAAAAATGAAAAATGTTATTTTTTATTGTGCAACTAACAACAACAAAAAAAAAGGAAAAAATCAAAACCGAACCTAACGTAGAAATATCACTCGCTCACCTAGAAGCATTACTTGCTTACTAATGAAGGGTTGGATTGTAAGCACATGGAAGGCAATAAGTATCATTGCGGAGACAAAGTTAACAGCACATGATTGCATCTCCGCACTTGAGGGTTGTGAGCGTTGATATCAGAGATTGTGAGTTTTGTCTGTACAACTAAGGTTCGGACTTGTAGGGTTTTGGGTTTCCAGTTCAGTTACAGTGTCGCCCGGCGAGGGTGGGAGTTTAGGAGTATTTAAGCACGTGATCCAATTTTTTCCAAATACTAATAAAAATGATTTGCAAGATACCTAACAAAATTGCAAATCCTTCAAGTTCCGTCTGAAATAAATCCAAGGTTTATTATTAAGAAAATTTGTTAATAAGTCAAAGAAGATAATATTAGGAAATGACTTCTTAATAATAAATTTTGAATTTGTAAATAATTAAATACCTCAATAATTTTTTTTTTCGTTAAAAATAAAAAATTTTAAATTTAAGTTGTATAACATATAAGTAAGATAAGATAAAAAATAAAAAATTATTATTTTTCAACCAATATAAAAATAATAATAATAAACTTTAGATTTATTTGAGACGAAAAATTTGAAGGATTTGAAAATTTGTTAGGTATCTTGCAAATCATTATTAATATTACTAGTATTTGGAAAATTTGATCACGTGCTTAAACACTTCTAAAGCTCGGTGAAAACTTATTTTTAGTTTTTTATTTTAATAAGTTTTGTAAATGTTAATTTCTTAAATGCTATGATATTTTTAATTTTATATATATATAAATTGGAGAAAATAATTTTTATTTAACTTAAATAATAATGTTTGCCAATTGGTTGATAATATTTCATTAACAGTTAATTGATAAATTATTAATGATTATAAAAACAAAACTAACCCCAAATGTTAACAATCCGGTTTAGTTAATGTTATAAATTTGATATTAAGTAAGGTTATATTCTCTAATTCGTAAAGCAAAGGTAAAGTAGGACTTTGCCCGCCGGCTGACACTGTAACTGAACTGGAAACTCAAAACCCTACAAGTCCGAACCTTAGTTGTACGGAGAAAACTCGCAATCTCTGAGATCAACGCTCACAACCCTCAATTGCGGAGATGCAATCGTGTGCTTTTAACTTAGTCTCCTGGAAACTCCCTGAACTTTTTATCGCAAAGGTCAGTAGCACCTCCTCTCTGTGCTCCGGCAATCACTTGACTCTCTGTTTGGCTGTTGAGAAAGTTCAGGAAAAGTTGAAAGAAACTATCGTTTTATATTCATTTTCTTGATACATTAGTTTTTGACATCTGGATTGTTCTCCGCGATGAAACAGCGTTGACTTCATGATGAATGACTCAAAATTTGTGTACTTGCAGGGTATGAACTCCTTTTGTCCTGTAAAAAGGGATTTCAGAGTATGTTCGGTTGCATCGAGTGTGAATGAGGCTTCCAATTACATTCCAGCAGCTCCGATTTTCCTCCCTGAAGGACCATGGAAGCAGGTTAGCCATTGTCAATTGAATTATTCTGTCAGCCCTTTTGAAGCAAAAAATATGTACTTTATATATTTAGTTTGATTATTGTAATCAGAATTTTGATAATGTGTTTTTGAGATTGTGAACTTCTAGATTCCTGGAGGAGTTACGGCTGCTAAGGGATTCAAAGCTGCTGGCCTATATGGTGGGTTGCGTGCCAAAGGAGAAAAACCTGATCTTGCGCTGGTTGCTTGTGATGTAGATGCCATTGTTGCAGGTTAGAACTAATTTTGGTAGAATTTGGATGGTTATTCCATTTTTAGCATCTTAATTATATATTTTCCAGCTTTCAGTGTCCACATTGTTTTGGGTTATGTATTTGAGAAATTTTAAGCACCATACTAAATATATTCAGAGATAAGTTTATATGAAGAAAATTGATTTGATTTAATTTGATTGATTCAAACTCTTGATTTGTTTTCAGGAGCATTTACTACAAACGTTGTTTTAGCTGCGCCAGTGGTATATTGTAAAAATGTCTTGAGTAATTCAAAAACGGTATGTTGGATGATCATGTTTGATACTTATTTCACCCCCTTGATCTACTGGATGGGAAATAATATTTATAAAGATTTAATCTTACTGAATCTTGGGTTGCTTGTTTGGAAGATAATTTAGCTTCCAGACTCCTAACAAAATTAATGTATTCAATGGGCTAATGACTAACTTCTGCCTTGTGCAGGCTCGTGCTGTGTTAATAAATGCTGGTCAAGCCAATGCGGCAACGGTAAGTTTTTTCAAAAGTAGTGAACTCCTTCTGTGCCTACATCTGAAGACATATGCTTCTTCTATAGAGTAGCTCATCCATGTGTCATTATTTTCTTAGTGTGGTTCAATTGCAGCTGCAAAATGAGAAGGGGAGGGGTTTGGAGGGAGACAGTTTTGGTTTGAGAAAAGGGCTAATAAATTTCTCAGTTCAAAAATTAGTATCATTGGAGGGTGAGGAACATGGGCCTGGGAAGAGGAAAGGAAAAGGACAAGGGAAAAATGAAAAGTCAGTGTTGCCCGTTGACGTCAATAATATATAGAAGTTAAAGGAAAATAAATTAATGATAATGTACCAGATTAAATCAAGTGTTTCTTACCTAACATCCTTTAGAATAATGTACAGGGTGATGCTGGTTACAGAGATGCAGTAGAATGTGCCAATGCCCTTGCTACAGTAAGTAACATTCAAATTCTTAAACATCTACTTCATTCATGTGTTCTTGAAAGTGCTGTGTTTGTCTTACTTTACTTTTGATGCATATTTATTGCTCCAGCAACTTCAAATTAGACCAGAAGAGGTGCTGATTGAATCCACCGGTGTAATTGGTCAAAGAATAAAGAAGGTATGTATTCATTGTATGTTTACTTGTTATGATGGTATACTCCATGTGCTTGGCTATGCATTGATAATCTTTGGATCTTGTCTATATACAGGAAGCACTTCTGAGTTCACTTCCAAAACTAGTTAGTTCATTATCATCATCTGTTGAGGGGTAAGTCTTGTCTCTTTGCTTACTTTTTTTGTTAGTTAATGAGTCCTTTTTCATTAAGCTCCTGATTTGATTTATTTGACCCACTAAATTCTGCACTGGCTGTATAATTTTCCATATTTTGTTTCGTTGTGTGTTACTTTACCTTGATTGCCTATTGAGTGATTATGTATTGCATCTTCTTTTAACACACTCAAATCCTATGAGTTGATGTGCAGGGCAAATTCTGCAGCAGTGGCAATCACCACAACTGACCTCGTCAGCAAGAGTGTGGCAATTGAGTCTCAGGTAAGGGCTATATATTCTCTTTAATACCACCTGTTATGAATGCCATATATTTTTTTTTAATCTATCTGCTACTATGATGAATTCTAAATGGTTGGAGTCTATACGGGTGCTAGCTTGGAATGTTGATGAAGATTACTCTACCGAGTACCCGCTTTGCTTCCTTTGCATTATTTCAGTGGCTCGGATCTTGATATGATAGTTGAATCAATGAGCTTTCAAGTATTGAGTTTGGTTGAATTTTTGTTCATTGGTTCTCTAATACCTCATGTTGTTGTTGAATGGCTAAAGTCATGACAGATATATGGATATCTCTACTTTTGAGGTGAAAGATTTAACAACAATTAGAGTTTACCAATATTAAGTAATTAGTGCTCTGGATGCTTTGCTGTTAGCATATGGATTATAGCATTTTCTGACCTTCATGAGAAATCTTTCAAGTTTAGAACTCTTTAGATCTTTTGTAAGTAGCATCTGATACTAAGGTTGAATGTCCCATATGAATTATCAATTTCTCAGGTTGGAGAGACAAATATAAGAGTTGGGGGAATGGCAAAAGGTTCTGGGATGATCCACCCAAACATGGCTACCTTGCTTGGCGTATGTCCCACAAAATTTTCTTTTGACTTTTTCATAAAAGTATAGATTCAAAACCATCCCCAAAGCTGTTGTGTCTTCCAGGTATTAACAACCGATGCCCTTGTTGACTGTGATGTTTGGAGAAAGATGATCCAAGTTGCAGTAAGTCGCAGTTTTAACCAAATCACTGTAAGTTGCGTGATTACTTTTAGTTCCTCTTTAGTTGACATAATTAGAGGATGGGCTTTGAATTTCTTCCCTCATTATTGCTTTTCAAAAGCAATAACATTACAATGACAAACGGTTATTCATGAAAAATGTGTTCATTCAAGTTCTCATATCACATGATTTGTAAGATAAATGTGGTTTCCGACCAGATGAATTTGTATTGTTTCTGTACCAATAATAAGTATTTTGATGGTTCAGATATATTTCTGCTAACAGGTTGATGGAGACACCAGTACCAATGATACTGTTATTGCTTTGGCCAGTGGGTTATCTGGATCAACCTTGATATCTTCTATAGAGAGTTATGAAGCAATACAACTTCAATCATGTCTTGATGCTGTAAGTTTGTTCTGTAATTCAGCTCTTCCTCATCTTACCTGGTTAAAACTAGTGTTATTGAATGTTAATTAAATAAATACCAAAACTTTTATGTGCATCTAAATTGTACCATGTTAAGTTCTCTTTTTATAAGGAATCTTTTCCTCCTGTATTTCTCTGTTCTTGATTCAGTAAGAATTTTTCATAAATAGTTGATAACTGCAATTTCTTTCACATTATTGCTTCTCTAAATTAAAATTCATATCTTCAGTCTTTTTGGGCCTATGTCATCACTGATTATTGCCTGAATCCTCAAGTATTTGAGGTCTTCTCATGAATTTGCCTCGACAATAACTGTTTGCAGGTTACGCAAGGTCTTGCAAAATCAATCGCTTGGGATGGTGAAGGAGCCACTTGTCTAATTGAGGTCTGCATACTTTCACGGTTTCTCTTTCTTATATTTGAGCAAAATTGGAAATTGAATTTTGGCAGTTAGCCCAAGCAGACACATAATTTCAGAAAATAAGGCTACTTTAACTGCAAACTTATATTCAATACCTTGAAAATTTTCAAGTAATCCTAACATCAACATGGCAGGTTACAGTGACTGGTGCTAATTCTGAAGCAGAAGCGGCAAGAATAGCACGTTCAGTGGCTTCTTCTTCACTAGTGAAGGTTTGAAGTCTTAAATTAAAATCCATTTAATGCTACATATTGGCAATGCCTAATTCAATGTGGATTGTGCCATCAGGCAGCCATATATGGGAGAGATCCAAACTGGGGACGTATAGCGGCAGCTGCTGGCTATTCTGGGATTTCCTTCGACCCAAACAAACTCTGGATATCACTTGGAGATATTGTGCTCATGGATGGCGGACAACCACTTAAATTCGACAGGTACCATCAAAACGTGGATTGCATCTGATTTTTTAGTAGCTTTTTATGTGATTCTGAAATTTATAGAACCTAGAAGTCAAGAACTGTCTCTGAAAAGATGCATTAAGCATAGATCATTTAATTCCTTTTACTGCACACTACTTGTATTCTTCACCTACACGTTATCTATCGTGTCATATATTTTCAGGGCTGAAGCCAGCAACTATCTCAAGAAGGCTGGCGAGACGCATGGAACAGTTAGAATTCAAATATCTGTTGGTAAGCTTCCCAAATAATTGCAATTATTTTGACCTTGTAAACCCAGTAAAGCTTCATTTTTCCATCACCGTATCATAATTTTTGTGCAGGTGATGGGCCAGGAAATGGGCAAGCATGGGGATGTGATTTAAGTTATGACTATGTCAAAATAAATGCAGAATATACTACATAGAAGATTTTGGCAGAACTGTAAATTAGAGGGTTATTAATCACCTCTCCCCAAACAAAGATGCTGTAATCTTTTTCCACCTAGGGAGCGTTTGGTTCAGGAAAAAATCTACTCCCTGATAAGGTTTTTCCGTGAAAAGTGGTCGGAAAGTTTTGCACGGGAATGTAATGCTAAATTATTATGTTTGTTTGGCATATGGGTGGGAAAGTAATTCTAAATTATTATTGAGAATTTGATATGGGATGGGAGTCTTAGAAAAGATCCCTTGAAAAAGATATATGGTGTGTTTAGTTTGGCTAAATTTATTAAATTATGGAATGTTTTTTTTCTTTTTAAATAGTATTTTCTCAAAAATTCTGAAGTGATTTTGCATGGGTGGAATTTAAATGTGAATATGTTATTTACTTTGTTGAAAAATAAGAAAAAATGATTTTTCCAATGACTTTTTTTTCTTATTATTGATCTCTTTCCGGATGGTGATTTATAAGAGGACGGATGCTTTCTTGCTAAATGAATTACTAAATCTACTTTGGATAGTTTTAAGAATTTAAATACTATTATGAATCAAAGTTAACAAAACTTAAGTGAACTAAATGGAATGTAAATTAAAGTAAATTTGTAAATAAAAAATGCATTCAAATTAAATTAAATATATTCATTGTCAAATAAAATTATTATTTATAGATAAATTTAAAAATTAAATTATTGCAAAATTGGAGATCTAATCTTAAATAACATTAAAGCAAATATGAATAAAGACTAAACAAACATACTTGAAATTGAAAAGAAACGTGAATAGCATATAAGTAATTATTTGATGTAACATTACTTATCATAAATATTAAACTAATATCAATAAATAAAAAAAATAATATCTTACAGAAATTCAAAAACGTGATGTTCATAACGTAAAATGAAATTGTTGAAGCAAATACAAGAACTAATTTAGCTATTAGAATGATGAAAAACAATTAAAATCTATCGAGAACTGTATTGAAATCTGAAATTTATAAGTTAAAGTGAGCAATCAATAATAAATTAAAAGTTTGAAAATTTGTGAAGTTGTATGTAGAGTTAATCATGTGTTGAATGATCATAAA